CAGGCATTCAAGTCCATTCAGTATTTGCAGCTTTAATCTTGTTTTTATAACTTGCTGTGATCTATCAGTAAGATAGTTTTCGAACCATAAGAGAACCACTGGTATATCATCAGGACCACAAGCAATATCATCGCGTAAATTATTTATGGTCGTAGATATTTGTTGTGGTGACGGGAAAACTAGGTTTAACATAGAAGTAGGTAGAATAAAAGAAAAATATACTTGAGAACGTTTGATCCAGTTATAACAACAAAAGGATCCTCAATGCGTACTTTTATCTTATGCTTCGCTTTAGTTTAGTAGTTTTGCTCTCAGGTAATCGAACATGGGATTAATTCGTATACTGGTCGATTAAAACTTCGCTGTTTTCCCAAAGTTGTCGTTCGTTCAGCCGGTACAACTGTCAGTTTTGTTGTTACCAAAATAAAAATCAATCAATCAACCAATCTTTCATAAAGAATTTTAGAAATGTAGTTTTATTTGCTTTGGAACAATTATATGTCTCAGCAATTAGTTCTATGAAGTATGCAAGTTATAAAAACAAGATTAAAGCTGCAAATACTGAATGGACTTGAATGCCTGTCTTTAATAGTTTTTGCTGAATTATAAATTTTCAGAAAGTGCAGGTCCGTTGTAAACGCTCACAGAGCTGATTACCTTCATCCGAAAACTTTGCACGTACAGTGATTGAAGTTGTACCAGGGAGTATGCCGACACCCTGTACTTGCTTGCGGTCCACCTGGTGCATTTCGGTCGCTACAACATTGTCGACAGACCATATTTTGTATAGGAACACGTCTAACACAGATGCTGTTTCCATAGTATTCTTGAAGATCACACGTATAATAACCAGTGGCATTTGGACCTGACACACATTTCACGTAGGGCCAGCTACAGGTCGCTCCTTATCCCGGCGTAGATACCGTTAAAGGAACACAGTTCTGTTTGACTCTTCCACCATTGACTGCTTTCAGAAGAGAGCCATCCTGTTCGATAATCTTTTGTTCATTGATCAGCGTTTGTAGTTCGTCATCATGAACTGATTCAGTCCAATAGATTGGCCATATTCCACAAGCATCATGCAATTCCTGACGTAGGACTGAGGTATTCGTCATTGGAACTGGGCTTTCTAACTTCGTTACGGTTGAATGCTCAGAGTCAGCTGAACGAATGGTTCCATTCCCATAGCGCAGATTCACATGACCTTTTTGTTGTCGTTTGACAGCTGCTGTAAGTACTGCCAATTGACATTTTTTGAAATCAACAAATTTTGTCAGTTCATAGTTGTTTTTCCGAT